AATTTTGATTTATACAAAATGCATTAAAAAATGACCAAATTCAGCATATTGATGCACAAAACACTGAAATCCATAGTAAAAAAAAAGTGAAGAAAAAAGTGCAATATATAGTAACAAGAACTTTTCCAACCACCAAATAATGGAATTTCAAAAGGCAAATTATGTACAATAGCTTAATGTAGGTAAGGGCCCAATATAAAGAAAATCACATCAAAGCCCCGATTAACACAATTAATTACTCCTAGATTCATTAATAATTGAGTTTATAGGAATGATAATATAGTGCCGTCATTCTCTTAAACTCACCTGTTAGTAGACTTGAGAGTAGTTAATTATGTTGACCAAGACCTTAAAGTAATTTTTCCTATTATTAAGAGGTTAAAGATAATTTTTATTCTCAAACTATACTTTCCAAAGCACCTAGTATTTTATACTCTTTTTTGGTATCCAATATTGCAAGTTAAGAGAAAAGAAAATATTAAGAATAAATGAAGGGAAAACATAGTTTGGGTTGAAACTAAGATTGGAGGAGAAGAAATAATGTTGCCAGAAAAAGGATTTTTAAAAAAATTTCTATTTATGTATTCATTTGGATGCCATGCGTATGTTACATGATATGAGGTATATCTCTAGACAACAGACATTACCTCTCTCTTAACGGCAGTGTGAATTACATCATTTCTTTTAGTTTAAAATGAAAATTGTTGCAAAATGTGGTATATAGAATATTAGGTGCTTCTAAAGGTATTTTTAGGACAAAAATAACATTTACCCTATATATATATATATATATATGTATACATGCACGTCATCCAACTCAGTCTTGAGGCATGTTACTGTGTATCTTTAAACATTAATGGCATAAAAGAAAGATCTTTTTCTTTTTTGGGAAACAAGAATATTATTTTAAAAACTAATCCAAGTAACTTATCAAAATAAGTTGAAAAATAGATTCTTCATGAAATTGATTATTTTAAAATTTTAAGCAAACAATTAAAACAAATAAATCATTCATGTTTGACATAATTAAAATAACTATAAGTTAACATAAACGTGCCCTAAGTCTGGGCGATAAACAGTGTTTCTTGGATAATTTATGGTTTGCCTTTAGCTTTAAGCATAATTAATTGTTCGTTGTCTTAATTTAATTTTAGGTTCAATTCCACGTATTGTCTAACACACTTTTTCTTGGTATTTATTTGAACTCACAGCTTCCAAACACTTTAAACTCAGTTAAGCTACATACAACCCTTAATCCTAATATCCAATTTTTAATAAAAACACATGTTCACATACACATATACTAGTACACATTATCAACCACTTTACTGTTATAACTATTATGCTATCATTGAACAAAATATCATGCATTACATTTATTGTGTGTGTATATATATAATTTATAATTAAATTATACAACAAAATTAGGTGTATTATTTCTTTTAAATATGATCCAATTTTTATTTGTATTATTAAATTTTTGGAAAAATTTTAAAAATATACATAAAAATTTTTGTATATGCATATTTGTCTATTATTATATTTTTATATGATTATTGATTTTATTTTTATAATTTTTTTGTTCGTCGCTAAAATTATGAATATTGAAACAAAATATTGTCAATAAATCTAATCTTTCTAGTGGTGTCATATATAATTGCATGTACCCAAAAAATAAGCAATAGGCGCTATTTTTTTAATAAGTACTCAAAATGAACAAAGATCTTACACTTTAATGTATTAATTTATGATCTCATAGTAGCAGAGTGGGGTAAGTCATCATCATGGCAACAAAGCTTCACACCTTAAATATATAATATAAAATTTCCCGGTGGGCAAATATTTTCTTCATTTTTGAGAACAATTAACTTTACTTTTTTAATTTAAATGTGTGCAAATAATCTCCTTATTTTAAGTAAACATGTCCTGGCTCAACTAGTGCAATGACTCGATGTAGTGGCTGGTGGCTGGTCTCTGCTCAGCTTACTATTTGCCACTTTGATTCACTTTTTTAGGTTTCGTTTCTGTGTCATTCGTTCTTGTCTTCTCGGCTTCATTAATGTTGTCAATAAGACTGGCTTTCTGATGTAGGACTTGTAATACATTCGGACACGCCAATCAATCATAATCAATAACAATGTTTGAATTCTAATCCTAATGTGAGCGGAATATATATATATATATATATATATTTCCTCAAGTCCATCTCAACCAATTTGATCCACCAAGTTTAATTTTTATTAATTTGCTCCATTAAGTATTTTTTTAAAATTATAATGTAAGTCATTTAAGTTTGAAAATACAAATTTACTTTCAAATTAATCTCATGTGCAAATTAAAGTATATTTTGATGACTTCACATGCATATGTAACTAAATAAAAGAAAATTAACTAATTTTTGAATCAATTTAATTTTTAATTTTTTAAAATAATGAGTTTCTGTTTTTTCCTAGCTAAATAATCACACATTTCTATTTTTCTTAATTTATATGTCTACCATTAATATTCTAATGTTTATGTGAGAAAAATTTAACAGTGTTACCTCTTTTTTAAATAATAAAAACTAAATCGATAAATAAGGCAAACTTAAGAAACTTAATTGATAGAAATTAAACATTAATTCAGAGATTGATAACTAAGATAAATTTAAGAGCACCCCCCGTTTTTTTAATAAGAGCTAATAAGACCCCAGCCGTTTTAGCCCTCTCTTATCTATTTTCATTCCTATTTTAAAATAACTTATTTTCAAGGGTTTAAGATTTTAATTTTAACAGTAGCGCCATGCTTATTTTGACAGCTTTACACTTCATTTATGATTTTTTTTATTTTTCATTTTTATGTAGGGTTACGTACCTTCATTTCCTATTGCATACCAACGTCATTTCAAATTACATTTTATCTTTCTATTCTCTTCTCCCGCTTTTTTCTCATATCCTTTTGTTTGAAATACAATTTTCTTTTTCTTTTTTTTAATGAAAAAAGGTTTAAGTGACTTAGGTCCAAAGCTTGTTGGCACACGCCTCCAAGCTTAAACAACTCTTATAAAGATACTTATAAATTATTTGCTAACAAAATTTTACATTGACAGTGAGATTTACCCCATAACTTTGTAAGTTGAGTGAAATTTTTACTAACAAGACTGACCTTTATTGTCTTTTACTGTAATTTTTTATGCTTTTTTTTAGTCTACTAATAATTAAAGTTAATTTTTATTTTTTTTTTGTTTGTCGAAATCCTTGCCATGCATTTAAAGATTCAGAATAGAGATGCCATTACCTATCCAGCTGATAAATTAATTAATTAACTTGTAATGAATAAATTTTTAGTTACGTAGATGATAATATAACATGTCGAGAAGATGCATAAAGGAAATATATATATATATATATATATATATATGTAACGTAACTTTCTTGTCACCTGAAATAATATAATAAGTAGATAGATGCCGATACAAGGTAATTTTTAAGAGTTGAATGAATTTTGGATTTGTGGGTCCTAACCCCAAATGACACCTAAGATCAAAAAACGCGTTAAGCAAGATAACCGCCCTTTGTCTGGTGTTTTCAACCTCATTTCTGAAGATATTTTATTTTTTTTATCCACCAATCCTTCACAATACTCATCATACCCATGATATTTATTGTTACTCTCTTCACACTTCCACTTTCCACCACAAAACAAAACTTAACATTAAAAATAGAAAGCTACGTTTTTAGTTCCTCAAATTTTATTAAAAATTAGGTTGATCTTTATAATTCAAAAATTTATTATTAGATGTTTAGAATTTACACAATTTTAATTAAATCTCTATTATTATAATTTAACAATCAAATGTCTAGGTCTCGACTGATAAACTCTGTGTTTGTGTGTCTTATTATGTGATCCTAATTAGTAGTTAGTACCTTATAGTTTTAATTTGGTCTTTATATATTATTTAAAATTTCACGTTTGAGCGTTTATATATAGTATGAAACTATGAGTCATTTTCAATTTATTCATTGTAATCCTATTTTCTTTTAATATTACATCAAAAGTGAAAGATGGTTTTTCTCCATTGTCTGTGCTTTTATTATGTTATTTATTGTGATATTTTATACATATTTAGAGTCTTGATGTAATATAATATTAATTTTAATGATAAAATTAAGTAAGTATTAATGAAATTTTACCCATATGTAAGTAATAAATTTTAAAAATAATAAACACTCAATTATAAGTTTAATAATTATTATTAAAAATTAAAAATTGAAATTGAATCTATAAGAACTAAATGCACAATTTTTTAATTAACATTTGACAAAATTCTGGCAAAATTCAATGATAAGTGAAATTTTTAGTAAAAAATTTAATTACAAAACTTTAAACTATAAGGATAAAAAAAATTAAATCGCATAATGGCGGAGAAAGTATACTTTTTTAAAAAAGATATAAAAATCTGAATTATGATTTATAAAACTAAACTGAAAATTTTTATAATATCAATCAATTAGCACAATATTGATAAAAAAATTAATGTTATAAACTTTATCAAGAAATATTTAAACAGTAAGACTTAATTATAAATTTTTAAATTATGTAATCCCCACTAAAAAAGTGAAAGGGAAAAAAGAAAGTATATTATTTCTGAAAAAGATTAAAACTGTAAAAATTCAATTTAAAACATCTAAATTATAACATTCAAATTAAAAATTGAGTGAAATTATCATAGATTTAAAACTAGAACATTTTTATAATTAGAAAACAAAATATCTTCAACGTACCCACACCTTGATTTTGTACTTTGTTTAGAATTACTATGATCATCCAGAGAAAGGAACGCATAGATTTTAATTTGTACATGCACGCTCGTTCGTGCAGCTACCACGAAGCTCACTGAAACTCAAACCTCTCTCCTCTCTATCCCCCCCCCCCCCCACTCTCTCTATAAATACCTCTTTATCCCCCACACTCTCTTTCACTACCAACTTTTCTTTCAAATTGATTTCATCATTCTCATTCTCATTGTCATCATTTTCTGCTTTTAACTTCCAAGCTTCTGGGTATGGACATGTCTTCTTCTTCAAGAAGCTCTGCTACGACCTCCCACGGCGCTTCGTCTTCTCCTTACAGAGGCGTTCGCAAGAGGAAGTGGGGTAAATGGGTGTCCGAAATCAGAGAGCCAGGCACCAAGACTAGAATTTGGCTAGGCAGCTTCGAGACGCCGGAGATGGCGGCGACAGCCTACGACGTTGCTGCCCTGCACTTCCGAGGCCGAGACGCTAGGCTCAACTTCCCGGAACTCGCCATGAGCCTTCCCCGTCCGGCCACCAACAATGCCGACGACATTCGCATGGCGGCTCACGAAGCTGCCTTGAGGCTGAGGACCAATCAAGCAGCAGCAGAAGGGGACGTCGACGCAGCTGCCGGTGCCGTCGGTGTCGATGCCGAGGTGGCCCCAGTCACCGTGAGGCTGTCGCCGACGCAGATTCAAGCAATCAACGAGTCTCCGTTGGATTCACCGAGGATGTGGATGCAAATGTCGGAGACACCGATGTTGGATGAACAATACCCGATGATGTTTGAAGAGAATAATGATGAGATATGGGAGAATATGAAGAGTGATTGTCTTTGGGATCCTTAAGGTTAAGGTCATAGGTAATTCGATCATTATTATTAAAACGTTTTATTAATTATAGAATATATGATATGGCTTATAACATTAAGTATCAGTAACTGATTAATTAAATAGTTAGTTAATTAATTATTGTTTACTTTTTAATTATTGTTTAAGTCATGCGTGAGGAGGGAAAAAGAAAAAGCAGCAGTCAGATTACGATACAGTACCGATCAGCTTTTGTTTATACTTTAGAAATTAAATAGTATTTCTTAAGAGATTGAACCTTTTCCTAATTAAATAAATCATTTTTAAATTGCACTGTTCATAAGAATATATATATTTTTTAGATTTGTACAATGTCAAAAGGGCCTGTCTACTGTAATACAGGTCATTTTTTCTATGCATTGTATAAATCTAAGAAATAATTTATATCGTTGATAAGCTTATGAGCAATGCACTTTGTTTAAATTTTTACAATATTTTCAGTTGAAATTAATTAAAAAAATTAATACATCACTACAGTGTAGAAGTATATGTGGGAATTCGTTGGCATGCCGCTAATGAATGGAAAAGTTACTATTTAATGAAACAGTAGAAGAAAAGGAGTGATTGTTTGAGGGAGTGCCATCTGTATTTTGTGAGAGGAGACAAATGTTTGGAGGGTCCCACTGGATTGATTATGTAATTAGTGGGTGAAATTTATTTACGTGGCATGCATTTTATTTTATTATTAAATCGAGGCACTCTTATTTATTAGAGTTCCACTTGTCATAAAGTTGAAGTTCTTCCATTATATGATTGTTAAATTTAATTAATTAATTGTTCTATTTAATGCTATGATAATGCTATGAGATCTCATGTAACAACTTTTATATATATTTTTTCTTTAACTTTCATTTATTTTTTTTATGTAATTTAAAATTATTTGTTCTACTCTCTTCATTAATGCATCATGTGGTCTTCTCTATTATGTCCAAATCATTTTAAATAATTTTTTATCATTTTTTTAAAAAATAAATATAATTAAAATTTGTTACACTCATATGTTACACATTTTAAAATTTTTTTAAAATTCAAATATTAAATGTTTGACTTAGTAACTTATTAATTAATAATGACGTTAAATTAATTATGATATATAATTAATAGGGGCATGATAGAAATAATACAATAATTAAATACACATATAAGGCACTGTATTGTATCCAGAATTGAAGCCTACGGAGATGAAAAATGAATGATGAACAAAATAAAATGAAAAGAATTGTGTTTGGAATGAGTGATAATAGAATATTTAAAAGATTGTATTCTACGAAAAAATAATAATAATAAAAGAATGGAAGGGTAATGAGAAGACAAAAATATCTCTAACGTAAAACAGAGAAAAATAATTTGAATCTATAAAATTCTATTTTTTGAAAAAAATATATAAAATTTCATTTAGGTTCGTATAATTTAAAAATATTTAATATAATTTTTATTATTAACATTTTATTAAATTAAAATTTGTAATGTAACTTGTACATATTATTTTAGTACTATTCATATAAGATTTTTTGTAGTGTAGAATTATTTTTCTATTAGAAGTAATTTTGTTTGATGTATAATTAGATACTAAATATATGTACACATATTTAGTATGAATTTGAACATTATTTCGTTACGTTACAAAGAATAAATCCCTTCCACTAGCCAATTTATGTTGATATTTATATGCAATTCTTTTTTTTTTTTAATAACAAAATGTTTAAGTGAGTTGCTCACCAACATAACCCTGCCCTACTTTTACATTTTCTCCTATTTGTTATATGTTTAGTTTTGGTTGTGTGAGGGCAAATTAGACAATTCATTGTTTACACTGTCGCGTTTGATTTATTGCCGCAAACCATACCCATATCACATTCCTTTTCAGCCGTCGGAAAGCTGTTTCCATTATTTCTAATTAACATGTGAAAGTTTTATTTATTTATTTACTTTAAGATGGTACTTATCTTTCTAACATTCAACTCAATTGAATTTGAAATATGCGTGAAAAGAACATCAATTATAATAAAATCTAATTGTTTTCCTACAACTGTGTTCCTAGCCTTCTATTTGGTTCAAGGACAATGGAAGGGGGAAGATATGAGGGAAATTTTAATAAATTCAATTAAAAAATTAAAGGACAAGTGAGACAATAAGATTTGGACTAAAACACAATTCTACCCTTAAACTATAGGACTTGAAGTGTCTGCATCTGAATTTTTTATTTTATTTTATTTTTTTGGTGCAACCCCAATATTACAACATAATTGGCAATATTAGATGCCTCAAAGTTTGACAATTATTGAAATATTCAATGATTATAAAAGAAACCGTTAAACTTACAACGAAATATTTTAAAATTTCTATTTTTTAGAAAATTATTTTTATAAATTTAACAGTTTTAAACTTTCACCATCAAATAAATATATCAATATATATAATGATTATATCCTCAACCATTCTACCCCCAACTTTACAATTTCTTCTCCCTTCGAACCATTCTCTTGAAATCACTTTCCTCGTGCCCTACATTCTTCAAGCGTGACATTAGTAATCTGAGGGATTTCGAGGGATCGAGCATGTTCTACATATTCTCCCGAAGGTATAACATCCTGCTTTCGTAATTGAAGATTTAGAGTTATTAATTAGGCTTAATTTGGGAACTCTCACTTGATGTTGATTTTAGAGCCAAATAGGTAGAAGTTGATGTTAATGAATAATTTTTGGACGTATTGAGGTTCTATAATATTGTCTATGGGCAAACATGGCTAAGAAGAGCCATACACATCTCCCTAGACGTAGACAAAAAGGAGGATCAGGACTCTTGGGTTATATCTAGTCATAGATGTAATATCACTGTCATTACCCCACTTCTTGTCCAAAGCCACCACGGTAGTCATGGGACTAACCCAAGTGGATTGCCAAAATTGATTTGCAACTAGTTAATTGCAATTAAGGTAATTAAATCATATACTAGTACAAAATATAATTTTAACTACATATTTTTTGCCACAGTTTATCCAAAAACTATGGTAAAATAAGTTCAAATGGAAAAAATATAAATAAGGTGAAAAATGTAGAATTTATGGTGACAGGCATACAATCCACATGTTGCCATAAATGATTTCACAAGATATTAAACAAGTTACTTAATTAAAATAAATCATTAATTTAATTTTTAAATCTGAATTAATAAGAAATACAAAAATGCATGACATAGACATTTATATCCACAGTTGTATGGGAAGCTGTTGCCATAAATATATGTCAAAACATTTATGGTGACAGGTCATAGTGTGACTGTCGCCATAAATGTAGCAACATTATTACTATTATCATTAATACTAATTTTCATGAAATTAGTATTAATAGTTTTTAAATATTTAAACGTTAAAGTTTCTGAATTCAAACATATTAAATATGTCTGAATTTATAATATCTCAGTTTTTAATCATCTAATTAATTAAACTTAATTAAGGTAATTAAGTAAGTTGAAGTGGTGTGTGGCCAGGGAGGTCTAATAATCATATTTGATTGTATTTCAGCCCTAATTGTAGGTCCAGTATCAAGGCGGGCCACTCGAGCATTAAAATGAGAAGAAAAATGAAGAGTGATATTGTTGTGCCACACGTCGTAGTGTTGAGATTGTTCGCCACGGTGCATAAACACTTATGATGTGACGGAGGACCTCTCTGTGCCATATGCCGTAGTGCCATGCGCCGCAGCACATTATGCGTTTGCCATGGTGTATGGCCATTTTCTACAGATATCAGTTGCGAAAATAAGATAGAAAAGGAAAGAAGAGAAAAGAGCAAATGGAGAGACGCACTAATGCTCTACTAGGGCATGACTTAGATAAGAATTTGAGAAGGTTTGAAGCTTTAAATCATCCAAGGTAAGATTTCTATACCTTTTTTCTCCTTTCCTCTTCTATTTTCTTAAGGATTTAAGTTAGGGTTTAGATAAGGATGGTGATTTCGGTCCATATGGGGTATGGGTCCAAACCCATTGACTCAAATGAGTTAAAGGGAGTTGGTTAGAGTATTTAAATCTAGTTTAAATGATTTTGGTGGTACATGCACCGTGGTAGACGGTCAGTGCACCGCGTCTCTTTGTCTATGTCATGTGCTGCGGCATGTGCCTCCATGCGCTATGGCTCGGCTATCCATTTTTCTACTATCATTTTGATAGCAAAAATGACGAACTTCCGGCGTGTACCAATTTTTCACACGACATCTGATCGAAGTGATTCAAGCACCCACACGAAGCTTAGCTCGTATACTAACTAATGAGATAGATTTAGACATGATCTAACGATTCAATAAAAATTTAGACACCTAGGTGCAAAAAGTTACTTTTTTCAAAAATTTTACGCACCCAAGCACTCAAATCAATTCCTTTCTCTCATTAGACCACACTAGGCCTTAAACCAAGTCCAAAAGGATCTAATACACCTGATTAACCTCAATTAATAACAATCATAATCATATATAAAATTTAATCCTTCTATAGCCAACTTTCCTAATTTACTAACTTAACATATTATGCCATTTCTTGGTATAACTTAGCCTACTTGGCTATTTCTTAACTCATACATATGCAATCATATCCACAATACAGTCTTAGCTCCCAAATTACTCATTTCATCATAATTTGTCCCTTGGCTTAAGATTCACCAATCATAATCACAACACAATCTTAGCCCCTAAATTACTCATTTCATCATAATTTATCCTTTGTCTTAAGATTCACCAACACATACCACCAATTCCACATAACATACTCAAATCAAAGCCCCTTTATCTCTAACAATACTTACACACATAATCAAGCTTAATTTCAAAAAAATTCAATTCAATACATACATGCAACTTATGGCAACTCATATACACATTATATATACAATCTTTTAGTTTAGTTTATTATACAACCTCAGAGTACACGGCTTCACAACTCAAGCCAGTCCAGACTCTCTTCCCTTGGCCAGATCACTTACCGGTCCTATAAATATGTAACCACAGGGGTGAGATAAAAATCTCAGTAGCAGAATAACTTACTCCTATTGACTATTACATGCAACAATATGAAAGTAAACATCGCATACTATTAAAACCTCGTTAAGTAGTATTTTCATCACATATCACATTTCATTTTTCATCTTTTCATCAATCCCAAAGGATTTCGTGTTATCTCAAGATATTTCATATCACATAAAATACTACCATGATCTCTACCAACCAAACCTTTAAACCACCCTAATATAAAACCATAGGCTCATCTCATACTAATGTATACTCTCATTAGTCTTGAGCTCACCTACAGTGGTAGAATCACTCGGCCAAAGATGTTCTAACACACAATGGGGTGTCGTTGACTCCAACCTACATCTTAAAGATATTAAGGAGTCTCTCATCTCTAACTTAGTACCTTAATAGGCATTTAGGAGATCTTCTCTAACATAGCACCTTTCAAGGCACTAAGGAGAATTGTTTCCAACACCGTACCTTAGTAGGGTACTAAGAAAGCCTAGCCATATGGTCTTTATCATCTCCTATACTTAAGTGAACTCC